GTGTTAGCTTGATGTTAACAGTTCAGTGAAGTAATTTAATGTCTTTTTGGCCTCAGATTATTAGTTGTATGTTTCTTGCTGGAATGAGTTATTATGTAGTTCAGTTATTTGTGATCATTTTCTTAATGTTAATCTTTAAAAACAGCTGAATTTGTACATAACTTTTTATCATTTGTCAGTCTGACATCATAATATAAAATATTAAATCAGATGTAAGGATTATTTAGTCGACACTCGAGTAGCTGTTTTGTAAAATACAGTTTTCCTGTTTGAGTAAAAACCTATGAAGGAACAAATGTTTAAAAGATGAGTTTTAGTTTCCATCACCTCAGAGTTAAACCTCAGCTTTTAACCATGAAACTAGAAAAGATTTTCTTTCATAGATGAAGTTTGTTTTGTGATTCTGGGCTCTTCTTGTTTTCTTCTTCATGATAATTTGACTAAAAGAAAAMGTCCAAAGTGCCGACTCGTCAGTGTGTTGAAAGTATTTAGAGTCCTGCCCTCTCTGCAGTGATGTGGATCAGTGAAATGTCACTGTACAGGTGTACAGGTGTACAGGTGTTTGTTGCCACAGAGCTCATATTATCTGACATCACTGAGATCGATACGACTCAGTCTGTCTTCAGTATGGATTCAGAGCAGTTCACTGAAAATAACTTCAGATTCTTTGAAAGTCTAAAGGATGGTGTTGTAGTTAAATCCTCCACAGCTCCGTCAGCTTTAGTTTGTGTCTGTTTGAAGCTGAAAGCTGAGATGAGCTGACTTCATTCAAACAGGCTTTTTTTAAATTAAACTTAAATTTATCATGAAAAATATTGAGTTTCTGAATGTTTCTCTGTGTTGTTTCCATCATTAAAAGATAGGTTTTGGCAGTAAATAGAAAATCACATTATTTTGTTTTAGTTTTAACCAATAATGTCCATAAAAACAGTTTTTACTGACTTCACGAGCTTTTATGTCTTCTGAGCTTTCTGACTACTCTTTAAATATATAACATTTATCAGTTCTAATGTTTTATCGTCCAAATAACTTATAAAATGTTTTGTTTATTTCTGTAGTTTTACAGTAGGAACAGGAGGAGGAGCTGTGAACGATGACGTTGATTTTCTGCTGTTTTAGTTTAGCAACAACAGCAGAGGAAGTGAATGAAGCCAGTCTGTGTTGACAAGGCTTCAAATGAAATTAAATTAATCTGTCAAAGTCTGCAGCATCACTCACAGCCATCTGGTTCAGCTCAGTACTTCCCCTGAGTCAGTTAGTCAGACCACCAGTACCCCTTCAGTTAAACATAATGAGGATTCTCCTAAACTATAATGTATAACAACTGATTATTAAATGAAAATGATTTATTTAACCCTCTATAACGTTTAATTCTCAGGCTTTTTAAATTTTTTCACTATAAATTAAACATAAAGATAAAAGYGTTGCCTTTAAAGTGAAAAGGTAATTAAATAAATAAACCAGCAGCGTCACAAATRCATTGTATTTTCCAAAATATGTCAGAAACTCACCTAAATGAGCAAATTCTGTGAGACTCCATGTTTTACACTGGATTCCATTTTGTGTTAATTCTGTGATTCCATCTGTAATTTCCTTATTGTGGAAATCATAGAGCCTTACACATCTGTCTTATTTTTATTTATTTTTTCTACACACCTGGGAAACGTTTCCATGTACCCCCTGTAATATGCTCACGTACCCAAAGTGGTACATGTACCCCTGGTGTGGAATCATTGGTTTACAGCACACATAAATTTCTGCTAGCTTCTTAGCTTAGCCTCCTTCACAGTGGAGCTGGTGCACTACAAACCAACTGTTAGTGATTGGGTAAAATCAGATCCAATCATTTTAAACTTCAACAGAGGCCACGCCTCCAGGAAGAAATCCTTTCTCAATAGCCGAGAGTCCAGACCCTCTGTCTGGTTTTACAGAGTCCAGACCCTCTGTCTGGTTTTTACAGAGTCCAGACCCTCTGGTTTTTACAGAGTCCAGACCCTCTGGTTTTTACAGAGTCCAGACCCTCTGGTTTTTACAGAGTCCAGACCCT